AGTTGTGACGTGGCCGTTCCAGGGTCCTATCCCGGTCACGACACCAGTTGTGACGTCCCTAAACAGCACCAATGGTGACGTCTTCGCCGCGGCGCCAGCTGTTCGCTCCTCGCTGCTCCGTCCGGGTGTCGCTGCTCCAAACGTGACGTTCGCCTGTCGCGTCAGTCGTGTTGTCTCGTACTGTGACGACCAACTGGCTTGGTATCGGTCGCGGCACCCAAATGTGACGTTCTAACCTTTTGATGATTCGGTGGGAATCTGGTTAGATTTGATATCAGCCTCGCTGTTCCCAACTCGCTCCCAACGCCCGGTTACCAAGGTAACTGCACTGATCTCCAGTCTGCCTACCCACGTTGTGAATTGATCTTAGACAGACGAGATCAAACAGGGTTAGCCGTAATGCAAATTGAGTTCAACGGGGTGATAACACACAAATATGCATAAAATAAAATAAAATGAAAACTCAAAAGTTCAAAGTATCAAAGAAAAAGGTAACAAACTTTATGTCTAGTTGTTCTATACATAGGACTGCATCTATCTCCCGACCCGTTCTGTGGATTGTGACACGTCGCTTTCGCTAGGCAAGTTTTAACGCTTCAAGTTGTCTGCTCTCTAGGAAATTTGTGTTTCGTTGTGTCTTTGGACGAAAGTCGAAAAAGTTATTTCTGTGGTGTGGTTCTAAGTCTCTCTTCAAAATAATTGTTCTTGGTTGAAGAGGAGTCCTAAATTTTGCGTGGATCTTGGTCAGCTATCTTGGTCTATCATCTCTGCCGCCAGGGACTGAACTAACTGTCTTCTGCCCGCCAGGGTCGAACGAACTCGGCACTCAGGGCCAAACGAACTAACTCTGCCCGCCAGGGTCGAACGAACTGATTTCTGCCTGTTGGAGCCTCGTTTTTATTGACGCCGTCAAAAACCGGGTTGGGTCTGTTAGCGTCGGGGAGTTCCTCGATAATTCTAAATACATATCCGCCTCTTTTATTTCTGGTTAGGGATTTTCCACTCTTTTCCATTTTTGGTAATTTTTTTCTCACTCCCACTTTCTCACCATGCTTCTGAGGGGGCGTGAACTGCCCTCCCTACTTCTTCGTAGCGGCTTCTCATACTTATACTCTGGATAGGGGCGTCGACAGTCTTCTTCGTGCGTCATGTGATCACCGCTTGGCCAATGAGGTCTTAGTCGGACGTGAACAACCCGCAGCTTTGTTTTGGAAAAGAAATACCTTGTTTAACTAAAAAAAAATTAATGATCTCTCCTCTTTCTCTCACTCCTTCTCTCAAATCGCCGTTATCATGAACGGATAATGTGACAACTCTTTGTTCAACACGTGGCGTTTGTCAAGCAGTTTATCGGTAATGCATCAGACGGCTGAATTTTCCGACATGGTCTAAGAAAGGAATTTTCTCCAAGTTCTCAGCCAGTCTGACGTCTCCGAGGCAGCAATTAAAAACATTTCATTTTCTTTCGGTTCATGTGTCTGATGACAAAATTTTATTATCGCAGGGTCTGTTTGTCGAAAAAAAACTTAACTAGTGGAACTACTTGTGTGGGATTTTAATTTTCCATACCCAGCTAAGGCTCCAAGCTACACATGTGTTTTGTCAATTATCAAAATCTAACGTTTTCAAGTGGACTTTCTTTGGTGAACATTTTCTTGATAACACAATTCCATTCGCGCGGACAAGTGGGGGAAATCGGTCAATGCTTGCTCGCAGGTGGCCTTTTAATTTTGATAGTAAGATGCTTTCTCGTACCAATAGTTTAGATAACACTTCCCTACCCACTCAATCTCATTGTCATTGTAATGACACTCTTTTCGCCTTTGACACTTATCCAAAATAACCCTTTTCTTTTTTTATTGCCTCTTAAGCTGTGTGTGTGTGTTCACCTATGATCTGTCTCGCATTACTTTTTCCTTTTCCCTTTCTTCTTTTTCTTTCTTTCAAATCGCCTGGATGCATGGTGCCACACTAACTTATTGGTTCCTTTTTATTTGGATTAGAATGACGTAGGTGTGGTCATTTTTGTGATTACTCCCTTAAGCCAGAATATTAGCACATAAGTGAATGTAATGGATTCGAGTGGAATTCGAACTCGGCTCTCCGATTCCTCAATCCAGTCCGCTATCCATTACTCTACCGTGAACATTAGCAGGCCTAACTTATTGGATCCTGTTCATTTGGATTAGAATGACGTAGGTTTGGTCATTTTTGTGATTACTCCCTTAAGCCAGAATATTAGCACGTAAGTGAATGTTATGGATTCGACTGGAAATCGAACTCGGCTCTCCGATTCCTCAATCCGAGCCGCCATCCATTAATCCACAGTGTTAAAAAACTAAATAGGCACCAGCGTTGTTCTCTAATCTTTGTAATCGTCTGCTTATATCTTCGACTGACGTCATCATGTCCCGTACCTTTTGGTCATTTCCTTCCAATCGAGATGTACATGTCCGACCGTTTCTGAGTATCCCGTACTCATCAGCTTGGAATGACTGCTTCGGATTGTTTTTTTTATCTACTAAAGCACGACATCCATGAAAACTGCACCACCATCTCTGCACTTGTACCGAGCACTGGCACATATCGTAAGGGGTCCTGGCCGAGGATGCTCATTCAGTGTCAGGCGTTGTGCTATTTGTTCCTCTTGTAAAAAAACTGAAATTAGTAATGAAATCTACCTTTTCAAGGATCTTAATATATTTGGCTTCATGCTAATGTTATGGTATAAGTGATTTTCAATTGGTAGTTTCTTTCAATCTACCACATACATATATATATATATATATATATATATATATATATATATATATATATATATATATATAAAATTAGTAGTAAATATACACATACATATGCAATCATATATCTAAAATATATATAAATATATATATATACATACATAAATACACATACATATATATTTTTTATAAGACATAAATCCAAGAGTATAGAATACAGGTTGAACTCAATGTCATGGGACAGAGTAAGGATATAATAAAAGGCTTAAAACACTAATATTCCATGATATTAATGTTTAAGCCTTTTTTATTATATATATATATATATATATATATATATATTTATATATATATATATATATATATATATATATATATGCAGGGATATAGTGTTAAGGTGTGCTATATTTATGGGATAAAGTGCTCAATATCAGAGATAGAGCGTGTGTAAATATAAAAGTGAACATTGAAGTTAACACTTAGAGGCGACAGGCTGTTTCATGCTACACGCAATCATCTGTGATTAAGTTTTTTTTAAATTTTCCTTGTGGTCGTATAAGTGATTTCTTTTTTTATATATATATATATATATATATATATATATATATATATATATATATATATATATATATATGTATTATACACACGCATATATATATATATATATATATATGTATGTATATATGAAACAATATAATGTGTCCTATGAGTGTCAGATTTTCCAAGTCATCTATCCTCATTATATGACCTGAAATATTCAAATGTTTCTTTATGATGTTAATTATAAGTGTCAGATTTGTTCACATTTTTTTCGAAAATATTCTATCATATTATAATTATACTTGCTCCTTAGTTCATTAGTGAGTTAGTTCGTTAGCACATAAATCCTCATCATACAAGGTAAGGGAAAAAGAAAGAAAGAAAGAAAGAAAGAAAGAAAGAAAAAAGAAAGAAATTAAATTAAATCCAGATCATAAAAGGTAAGGGAAAGAAAGAAAAGAAAGAAAGAAAGAAAGAAAGAAAGAAAGAAAGAAAGAAAGAAAGAAAGAAAGAAAGAAAGAAAGAAATTAAATTAAATCCAGATCATAAATGGTAAGGGAAAGAAAGAAAGAAAGAAAGAAAAGAAAGAAAGAAAGAAAGAAATTAAATTAAATTAAATAAAGATCATAAAATGTAAGAGAAAGAAAGAAAGAAAATTAAATTAAATCCAAATTATAAAAGATAAGGGAAAGAAAGAAAGAAATATAGAAAGAAGTTTTTAAAGTCTCCTGCCAATAACTCGTAAATAATGAACTACTCCGTTTTGATCAGGATCAAGTACAGAAAATACATATCAGAGACGCTGGCTGGTTTAAGAAAGAAATAAATGAAAATTATAAAAGGTAACATAAAGAAAGAAAGAACCCAATGAATTTCTAAAATAAAAAGACAATGAAGAAAGTAAGAAAGACAGAAAAAAAATGAAAATTATAAAAGGTAAAAGATGGAAATAAAGAAAAAAAAAACGAAAGAAAAAAATATATATATAAATGACAAAGAAGAAAAGATAAAAAAAATGAGTTAAAGAATATTTAAAACGATAGAGATGATGACGCCTTCATGTGTTTATCGTCTGCTTTAATGAAATGGAACCTATTTGTCATTTTTTAATTTTTTTCTTTTTTTAACCTTTTCTCAATAATGACCTGCATTCATACTTATGATTGTTATTCCAATATTTAATTAAAGTTTGTTAAGTTTAAATATTTATCAACGCAATAGGGGAAATTCCACGAGTATTTTGTTGTCGTGGAACTAGCAAAGGTTATTTATTCATTAAATATAATTTATCATAAAATTAAAAAAGGAAAAACTGTGACATTTTCCCGGCTACGACTAATTTATATTATTAACTTGTTACAAATTACGGATTCTTTAAAAAACGAAGGCAATTATTAAAGTAAAAAAAAAATATATATATATATTTAGATAAACATCAGTCCGTAAGAATCTTCGGTTATTTGCGCGCGCATGCGTGTGTGCCTGAGAGAGAAAGAACGAGACCAGTGACGCAGCTGCCCTTTAAGATTGCGTCAATTTTGACAATAAATCAGGTATCATTTCATGTGGGGAGCAGAGAGCAGAAAAATTGAATGACAATAAAATAAAATATCATAAAAGATGAAGAGAAAGAACGTCTCTTTCCCGTGACGACTTTTTGTTCTCGTTTTATGTGTGTATTTTGAATAGTGTCGTCAGATATGATCTTCTTATCTTTTTTTATCTCATCAAGGAATCGGACAGATGGGGATTGTCAGGTGGGGGGCGAGAGGATAACAAATGTACGGAAAAAGGGTATAAATTAAAAGAAAGAAAGAAAGAAAGAACACGAGGAAGTAGCAAAATAAAAAAAATGATTAAAGAATTGTCAGGAAAGAAATCAAAATTGTAAAAGAAAGAAAGAAAGAAAGAAAGAAAGAAAGAAAGAAAGAAAGAAAGAAAGGAAGAAGAGATTTTAAAAGAACCAAAGAAATAAAAATAGAAAGAAAGAAGGTAGAAGATTGATACAAGTAAATAAGCAGTCACAAAAGAAAGAAAGAAAGAAAGAAAGAAAGAAAGAAAGAAAGAAAGAAAGAAAGGGATGTCAGGAAGATAGAATGAAATCATAATTGAAAAAGGTAAAAGAAAGAAAGAAAGAAAGAAAGAAAGAAAGAAAGAAAGAAAGAAAATGAAGAAAGAGATGTCAGGACGACAGAATGAAATCAGAACTAGAAAAATAAAGGGATTGACAGAAAAAAAGAAACAACGTGTGTGTGTGTGTGTGTGTGTGAGAGAGAGAGAGAGAGAGAGAGAGAGAGAAAGAACAGGAGAAAGTAATAAGATAAAAAAAACAATGAAGAAAGATGTCAGGAAGACAGAATGAAATCAAAACTAGAAAAAGTAAAAGAAAGAAAGAAAGAAAGAAAGAAAGAAAGAAAGAATACATAAAGTAGTAAGACATAAAAGAGAAAGAAAATAAAAATAAAGAAAAGGAAGGGAGAATGAAATAATATGAAAAACTAAGAGACATAGATCATAAAATAAAGGAAATAGTGAAAGAAAAAAGAAACGGAAAAAAGAATGTAACGGATAAAAGACAAAATATGACTGAAAGAAAATTAAAAAAAGAAAAACATTAGCAGAAAGAATTAATTAAAAAAGAAAGGAAAACGAATGCACAAAAAAGCAGAAAGAATGGTAAAACTGAGAAAGAAAAGAAATGGAAAAGATAAGAAAATAGAAATAAAATGAAAATCAAGAACGAATAAATAAACAAGAATTTAGTTAAAAAGTATGAATGGAGAAAAAATTATAAATGCGAAAGAATAAGCGAAAAAGATAAGACGAGGAAGAAAATTTGAAAGAAAGAAATCAAGGAATAAAACCAGTATGAAACAGAAAAAATATGAAAGAAAACCTAACTAAATAAATAAAGAAAATATACAATTATGAAAATATTTAAAATAAAGAAATGTCATAAAATGGAAAAAAGAAAGAAAAAGAGACAAACTGAAAAAGAAAGAAAATAGGAATGGAGCATAAACAGTAAATAATGAAGGTTTTGAAATAAAAAAGAGAAGGAAAGATGAAAATAGAAAGAAAGAAAGAAAGAAAGAAAAGAAAGAAAGAAAGAAAGAAAATATAAGTAGTTACTAACGAAAGAATAAAGTGACGAAATATAAAAAAGACATGGAAAATGAAAGAAGAAAAAGATAGAAAAAATTGTCAGCAAAAGAGGCAATTAAGAAAAGAAACAAATTTAAGAAAAGGAAAGGAGAAATCAGAAAGAGAAGAGAAGAAGAGGAGAGATAGAGAGACGTAATAAGAAAAGAAAAAGGCGGGTTACAAAGGTAATGTGAAAAGAGCGATGAAAAGACAAATTCGAACATCAAATAAAATCTATTGTTTAACAGACGAATGCCGTTTGTACACAGTATTTTCTAAACATACGCGCGGTCACAGTTTTTGTTCTACAGCTGTACTGTTATCGTGCCACGTGCCTTATCTGCCACTTACTGTCCCCACAAATTTCATTGACAAATAAAGCCCGAAGATGTACGATAAGTTGCACCTGTCAGTTTCAGCTCCAAAATTCCTTTCTTTTCAAGACCCAGAGTTTAACGACGAGTGACAACGCGGCCATATTACTTTGTAAAATTGCAAAAGTATTATACGTACCTTTAGGTATCACGATGTTTTAAATGATTACTTACTGTAGTAAATTAGATCTTCTTCTTTTATGTGCCGTGTCCCTTCAGGACGTACGTGATCATGGCCCTCCACATCTTCCTGTCACTTGTAGCTGTTGATAATTTTTATCTTTCTGTTATTTCTCCTAAATCTTGTTCTACCATCAAGCCACTCAAGCCCATCAAGTATGTCACGTCAGGCGATGTTTTCCTCTGTCCCTCTTTCTATCTGTCCTGTGAGTGTCGATTTTCCAAGCCCACCTCCGCATGCTCCAGGAATTTCAACAACATTTTTCCTGATGGTTAGTGTAAGTGACCTTTTTGTTTCACTTCTCTCCAAAACCCCGTCATTGCTCATATGTTAGGCTCATGGTATCCTCAGCATCCTTCTGTAGAAATTTCTTCTGCTTCATCTTGATGTTAAGAAAGAAAGAAAAAGAAGAAAAAGAGAAGAATAAGAAAGAAAGAAAGAAAATCCCTAGCCATCTTTCAGGTAGATTCTTTTTTCCATAATCTCGGAACTTGGCATTTTTCTGGTGTTTTTTTTGGTTTTTTTTTTTGGTTTTTTTTACAGAATTCCAATGAAGTGAAGTTTTTCATATTAAGAGAATTATATAGCGAACTGAAGTAATTGTTGATCGAAAGTAAAACATCAGGGAAGTTCAGCAGTTGTAGTAGAACAAGCCGTCCAATCTGTACCAATTTCTACCGGGCCTACAAAACGACATGAGGTGTGTCATTCCCTTGTTGAAAGAGGAAACCCTTTCGATACTTCTTCTTCTAACGTGTCACTTCAGGGTGTAGGCGATCATGGGTTCTTTGCCATTCACTTCCTGGGTATGACGATAAACTACTTCCGGCAGCAAGACCGCTGATCGTGAAATTGGAGGTTTTCAGAAGCGTGGAACTATCGGTTAATTGCTGTTGCGCTTAGATCTACCCTGACCCGGGGTGGGTACCCGGGGTGGGTACCCGGGGTGGGTAGTACCTTTTAGAATCCCGGCAATGGGCAGATAGTGAGCCCCTAAACAAAAGTATAGAAATATATTTTTATAGTAAAATTACCAACAATATCTATTTTTAATAAAGTGACCAATAATACATATTTATAGCAAAGTGAATAGTAATACGTTTTATTTAACAATACATTTTATAGCAAAATGACCAACAATTCATTTTATCTGATCTTTAATGCTCACTCCTGCCGCGCTAAACAAGCGAAGGCTCAGAATAAACACCCCTGTTCAAAACAACCAAAAAATAAAATACAACTTAAACAGCCAAATCATGAGGGGAAAAATAGCAATAACAAAAACAAACCCTCCTTGAAAATGGCTAAAGAAGTAGCGTTCAAAATATATTTAGTCGAAGCCATAAAATCGTCTTCAAAATATTTAGATTTCGGAATTAATTAACACATATAGCTGTTTATATGCCGCTAAACAAAATCAACCAAACCAATTTTTTCACAATTTCTTGTCGTTTGTAGTTCTTTATTAATTTTGTCTTCTTGTTATCTTCCCTAAACCTTGTTCCGCCATACATTTACTCAAGCTTACAATGCTTATGCGTTATTTTCATCTGTCCTGTGAGTATCAAATTTTCCAAGCCCTCTTTCCTTATTATGTGGACTAGAAATTTCAACTGACTCTTCCTGATGTTAAGTATAAGTTTATTTTTGTTTCCATTTTCTCTAAAACTTCGTCGTTGCTCACATGTTCGGTTCATATTTAATGTTCTTCTGCAGAACCACATCTCTGATGCTTTAAGTGCCTTCGTCAGATTTGATTAGATTTCCCAACATTCACTGCGATAAAGGAGTTCGGTACTCATTTTTATTATTATTATTATTATTATTATGTCCTTTCCTATTGGCCACTTTAGAATAAGTCTAAATGCCAGTAATGTTAGCCGTAAAACGAAAACACGTCTTCAATCTCAACCTATTGAAAACGCTACCTACATTTTTTCCAATCCTATATTTCTAGTTTTTTGGTTTAACTAAAATAAACCAATGTAATGTAAACCTAATATTCTAGAATAACTATTTATTGTGTACCCGTGTAGCAACTCCGATAATGCTTATTCTAGAATATACTTCGCTATAATGTAACCTAGTCGAAAATTATTTAACGCTTTGGAGACGGAACCTGATTTGGAGTTTCAGTTCCAAAACGGAGCCCTTTTCCTATTCCCATACTTGGAACACAAAAAAAACATCGATGTAAAAATCACGGAACAGTGCAAATTATCATAGAAAAACTTATAGAAACTGCCATTAAAAGGCCCAGATGTGCAGAAAAATGCGAGAAGCAATTTGAATCTCCAACTACCAAACTTACTTTATTTAATTAGTGAAAATGAAGTGTTAATTTTTTTTTAAATGGAAAGACGCTCACGGGCATTCCTGCCGAGCTTGACAAGCGAAGGCTCAGAATAAACACCCTTGTTCAAAACAACCAAAAAATAGAATACAACAGCCAAAACATGAGGGGAAAAATAACAACACCAAAAACAAAACTCCTTTGAAAACGGCTAAAGAAGTAACCGAAAGAGCTTGGGACAATAAAAATTATGGAAAATTTTTGTACTCATCTTTTTTTCTTTTATGTGCCGTGTTCCTTCCAAAAGTGAGCGATCATAGCCCTCCAAATCTTCCTGTTCCTTGTAGATCTTAATAAGTTTAGTTATGTGTTATTTTTCCCAAACCATGCCATCCAATTTGTCAAAACCATCAAGTACGTTACGCGCTGATTTCCTCTGTCGGTCTTTCCCGAAATCTAATCCGTGTGTATCAGATTTTCCAAACCCGCTTCCCTCATTACATGCCCCAGAAATTTTCTCTATCTGATGCTAAGTATAAGTGTTTTTGTTTGTTTCCATTACTCCTACAAAACGGAAAAGTGTAAGGATTCTGGAAAAAAAACTTTTTTGTTCTTTGTATGTCATATTTAATGATATATATATATATATAATCATTTATTCGAAAATTATAACATAAAAATGTTATAAAATCACTACAAAAATAGTCATTTTGTTTCAAAACATCTGGTGTCTTCTCAAGTGATGGTGTTGAATATAGAATAAAGTTTTTGGTCTACTCTGTATTGAGCACTCTTATAAGAATAGTATTTGTTGGTTATTGGAAATACACCAATCCTATACTTGAATATATATATATATATATATATATATATATATATATATATATATATATACTTTATTATAGGAATTTTATTATTATACTTTATTATGTAACCGCTACATAAATGCATTCACGCTTCGATTTATATCATCGCATCTCATCCTCCTGATGAAATGCGATGATATGCGTTTAAACGTGAATGCATTTATGTTGCGATTACATATGTTCGAATGTAATATCCTATAATAAAGTATTATTGCTCTACTGTCGCATTGAGCCCTATATTTAAATTAATATTATGAACCTTTGAATTTCTATTTGATTCGTTCTCATTTCATCTGGATATACGTATATGCTGTATCCTTAAAGAAGTTAAAAACAGACAAAGGTGGCACTCGAGTGAAGGAACAGCAACACGCGCGTAGATGAAAGAAGAGAGGTTTATTGTAAAAGAGAATACACTACTGAAAAACAGGGAATCGGGTGGCAGGCTAGTAATTCCCGAACCAAGCACCCAGGTATCTCCTGTACACATTATATATAGCTACTGATATAGTCAGTCCCCATAGGCGATAGGGAGTGTAAGATATTCCATTACAACAATATATATATATATATATATATATATATATATATATATATTGTTGTAATGGATATGTAATATAATTGGCCCTGATCTGGCGTCTCGTCTACAGT